ATGTATATTTACTTATCTATTTTTATATCACATTCACTATTTTAGTTTAGTCATTAACTATTTAAAATTATTTTTCATTTTAACCGGTTATCTTGGGCTTCTTTAGCGAATATCTTGTTTTGTTTTATTTACTAAAATTTGCGGGTTGTTATGTATTTATGTTTTAAACTCAATTTTTGAGGTTTGAAATGATGTTCAGCATATTTGTATTGTAATTTCAAACGTTGAATGTCTTTTTGGTACAAATTTAACCGTGATTTGTAAGATTTTTTTTAAAAACCAGGAACCGTTAAATGATGATATGCACTAATTAGTAGTGCATAAATGTATCTTTTTATGTTTGATTTGTGTGGATTGTTTACCATTTTATTTAATTTGTAAAGATTTGTGTGTTTTTAGTTGTAATTGTATTTTAGTTCTCATTTGTAAGTTGTAAAGCAGAGTTAGTATTTATGGTGTTGGAAAGGAAGACTTTGAAGTGAAGGCTGCCCAGGACAATCACCCGGTCAGGTGAGGTTTTGCACCCGGTCGGGTGAGATTTTGAAAAGCGAAGGTGGCTGGAAACTACACTCACCCGGTCGGGTGAGGTATTTCACCCGGTCGGGTCAGATGTGACCCGAGACAAAAAGACGTGCTGAAACACAAGAACGTGGAAGATTATTTTGATTTTGACATGCACCCGGTCGGGTGGGCACTTGACCCGGTCGGGTACCCGGCCCAAGGTGTTGAAAACACCTATAAATAGCACACTTTTGCTTCACAAATAATCACTCCTTCTTCCATACTCTTAAGTTCAACTTAGAATAGTATTTCTTTTATATTTTTATGGCATGTTTAGTCTCCAAATGAGGAGCTAAACTTCCATTTCTTGGCGTTGCTCTTGAAGCTTGTTGATTATTAAAGTTGTGAGTTATTTTCTTAATTTCTTCCCTTGAATATTAATTATTCTCTTAATCTATCTATATACTAATGTTGGGGAGTGTTGCTAAGATGACAATTAGTTAACATTTTGACATTAGTTATAGTAGTATTTATTGTCTTCCTCTATATATTAATGTTGGGGAGTGTTGCTAAGATGACAATTAGATAACATCTTGACATTAGTTATAGTAGGATTATTCATATTTAATCTTCTTCCTTGAATATTAATTCTTCCCTTAATCTATCTCTATGTTAATGTTGGGGAGTGTTGCTAAGATGACAATTAGTTAACATCTCGACATTAATTACTACTAGAAACGATCGAACCGATGGTTAATCGTTGATGGTTTCACAAGTAAGTAACTTCGGTTTATTAATGCACGGTCGTGGTTAATAAACTTAAGAGGGATTAATTTTGTTGGTTAAACTAAAACCGTTGTGTTGAGGTTATCAATCTCAATTGATTTCATCAAGGAGTTAAGAGACTAAATGCTACTATTAAGTCGGTATATGGCGGTGTTCTATACTTGACTAATAGTATGGGTTATTAGTGAACGGTCGTTGTTAATAACTACTCTCGATGAATTGGATATACTCCTCGATTGAGTATTCGAGAGGGGACAAGTTATAGATATAACAATGATCGACTAAAATATATCAACAAGTGGAAAGTAGCAATGCCAAGTCCTTTTTATCTTTAAATTAAATCACATATAAGTTGTTCATCTTTGTGTTTAATTAAATCATTCAATCCTAAACCCCCCTTTTATTTACTAGTTTTATAAAAAGGGAATTATTCTTTTCCCTGTGGATACGAACTATACTACGCTATACTACGTATTAGTGCTAGTATTGAATTTATTTTGACGCACCGTGACAAAGTGTATTGTCAAATGACAAGAATCGAACCATTAAGAATGTTTTGATTCCTTATCGGTCCTATAAAATAATTTATAAAAACTGAACCATTAGTAAAATTTCATATTTTCAAACGGTTCTACATATTTTGCCTAGGAACCGAATCGGTCCCAGGCCTAATTTAAACCTTTTTTTGGTTACTTTTATAAATCCTTCTTCATCTTACTTTGCATTATTTTCTTTATTGGATTTTGGATTGGAGTCCCTCTCTTCCTGCATCTTGACTGTGTATAGTCAGCTCTTGAATGTTCTCGATTCTAAGACTTACTCCTTCAATCCTTTATAACTTTGCCAACTTTTCTTTTTTTGGATGTTTCATTAACTTTGTCACTTTCCCATTTATGTAAATAATTTGTGGTTCCAATTAATTCTCTCTCCTCTGCACAAACCTCAACCATACAATTTTTACTTTTGTGCCAGTTAAACTTGACAAAGTTATTAGGAACGGAGGGAGTATAAAACACCTTCCACAAACTACAAATCAAAATAAAAAAGCTTTGTGATTTTATTGGACTTTTAAATGTTCTGTAGACATGAATTTATAAAATTTTCTTACAAATATTTATCGTTCTTATCTTCTTTTACCCCTATATGGTTGGGGGATTTAGGAGGAAAGGGAAGGGGAGGAGTTATATTTAAATTTAAAATAATTTTTCCATTTCAACAAATTCAAATAAAGTGAAGACAAAATAGTATATATACATTGTTTAACTAATTATATAGTTATTTGAAATTTGATACTAACAAAAATCAGATAAGTTAATAAAATAAAAAATCAATCTTCCCCCTCTCTGAAATCCCCAAGCATACTGGCCATTCTAGGCCATCATACACCTTTGACTTATTGAGGTCCAATTTTACTCCTGTCCTTTCAAAGTGGCGCAAGTAACATAAAATACGCTAGCTATGTCCACTCGCTAGGTCAATGGGCAGGGGTTGCAACTAGAAATCATTCAGATAAACTCAAGTAGTGCATTAAAAAGCTGTTAATACTCATCATACAGTGCATTATTATTATTATTATGCTAATTAGCTGCACTGAACGACGTTTCATGGAATTATGGAACAAGCTCATTAAGAAAATTAATGAAAGTCAAATTATCTACAAGAAATTAAGACGGGGACTCTTGCATATTACTACATCTGTCCCGAAAAGGTTTACCATATTAAATTGTCTTGATCAATGATGCAAACTTTGAGCAATAATATTAACTATCAATTTTGTATATAATTTATAAATTTTATACTTTTATTAAAATATTTTGAATAAAGAACAACATCATCATCATCATCACCCCAGTGCCGCAAAGGCTCCCACCTATGGTGCGGTAAGGAGGGGTCGGATGTACGCAGTCTTTTATTGTTAATGTAATTAAATGTTTATTATTGTTGTGATTATTTTTGTTATTATCATCACTATTATTGTGATTGTGATTATGATTAAATTTATAACTATAATTATAGTTATAACTATAACTATACATCTAAATCTTTCTCATCTGATCTTAATTTTTCCGATTTGATCTGACTGCAATTGTCCCTTACTTGATCTGGTCTGAATAAAATAAGAATAACCAATAAGCAATAAGAATAAAGTAAAGTATTTAAAATACCTCAAACTTTGAAGGAGTGTGGCTTAAAAACACTTAAATTATACGAAATATGAGAAAAAACTAAAATGATTGAGAAATTTGATAAAACCGTAAACATGGATCACCAAGGGTTCCTAGATTTCCCGTGCAACGCACGGGTTTATCGGCTAGTTATCTACAAGAAATTAAGACGGGGACTCTTGCATATTACTACATCTGTCCCGAAAAGGTTTACCATATTAAATTGTCTTGATCAATGATGCAAACTTTGAGCAATAATATTAACTATCAATTTTGTATATAATTTATAAATTTTATACTTTTATTAAAATATTTTGAATAAAGAACATCATCATCATCATCATCACCCCAGTGCCGCAAAGGCTCCCACCTATGGTGCGGTAAGGAGGGGTCGGATGTACGCAGTCTTACCCTGTACTAAAGCACAAAGAGATTGTTTCCGAATGACCCATAGTTAAAATCGTATCAAAAATTGCATAGACTGACTGTTACTTCATAACAAAGAAGCGCAGACAGTTTAGTGAGTCATTTTGCTTTATTTCATCATATTTCCAAGTAAAAAAATAGTGAGTCTTTGACTTCATTGAAAATGATGGAATTTTTTTGAATAAAAAGCATTTTAATATAATTTTCATATTCAAAATAATTTATCGATCAGTGGTCAACGTTGATTACCATTGATTAAGAAAATTCAATTTGATGGGCATTTTCGAACGAAAGGAGTATAACAATATACTATTGTACTACGTATATATGAAAAATTGTATACCGTTTGTATAGTAGGAGAGTATTTCATCCAATAAAAATCATTAAACAACTCAGTTGAAAATGGCAAACATTATTTTTATATTCTCAAGCTTTATACAATTGAGGCTTTAATTAGGTAATCACAAGGACCATGTATGCCTGAAATGTATAATATGGTATATCTTTAAAGACCAATTACATACTCTTCAATTAGTATGCTTCGATTGCATTTCAATTAGCGGAGGCTGCTAGCGTTATTCAACGCCACAAGTGTTTTCTTGGTCTCTTGGTCCTTCATTTTGTGATTCCTAATCATGAATAAGTGCTTGAGTGTATGAATCAAAAGTCTAAAGCACTCTCAAAATATACCGGCCGTAACGTACTTTCCTCCATGAAATACGAGGTATTGCTCTTATCAAGAAAACTATGAAAAGTGCTAAGCTAGAATAAAGTAAGAATATTATCAAATTTGTTACATGACAATTTTAATAGGACAGACACAAAAGAAAAGATAAATAATTTTAATTAAATGAATAAAAAGAAAAAATGAGACAATTTTATTAGTGCCTCAGTCGCGCTATGATTGTTCTATTTATCGCTTTTGACCCGTCACGTCCCACTATAAGTTTATTTCAGGGAATTAAATTTGATACAATTTGTGTGGTTCTAAACCATTTTTACTTTATTCTCACTTTAATTATTCAATTGCAACCATTTAATCCCGCTTTTTGGTCCACCTCTTCATCATATCCCAATGTTAGTGTGCATTGTTAAAAATTGCTATTGGTAAAAAAGTTGTTACGGAGTATAATGCAATTAAGTACTGTTTCATTTAAAATGACATAGCGTGCAAAGGAAGTAAAGTGTACAATGCAAGAAATTAAATTAGACCCGAGGATGAAAATGAAGCAGCGTAGAAAAGTATTCGATCGGATCGGTTCTGTGACAAACTATTTGTTACGTTTAGGCCGTGGTTACTACGGGCCGGCCAGAAGAACGTAACTAGTGCACGGCTGAACAGTTCAACGGGAGGGGGATGCTCTGTTCATGCCGGAAAAAGTTTCCGGGATCAACAATACACTTGGCTTTCACCAACCTCTGGAAGTTTTGCTTGAAATATCTGTTTCCCCACAACTTCGCTACGTGGTCGGGTATATCAGAAGCAGCATTGTTGTTTTTCCCCAGATCAAGATCCCTGTAGTTCACGTACGCTTCCCTCGGCCCCGTGGACACGAATGGTGCCATGTAATTGTACACATCCCTAATCCACGCCATGTGCTTTGCCTCGAAGGCGGCTCCGCCGTCGACGCTCCACGTGGTCACGTACTGGATCATGCAGAGGACTCCCTTCCTGTGCGGGAACGGGATGGCGGTTTCGTCGATCTCCGCCATCCTGCCCCCGTACGGGGTGAGTATCACGAGCGGGGAGTCCTCTTGCAGCATACGGTCCCACAGCCCCTCCAGGCCTTTTGCTGGAATGGGGTTATTAGTTTTGACGAAGTCGGATTTGGCCTTGAAGAAGTTCTGGAACAGAGGCTTCCCTTCCAGGAGATATTCCGGCGGGAAGGTCGTCGGGAAACCGAAGATGGTGTACATCATGCCTTTAATCCAGCTCGTCTCGTTGCAGTTCTGTTCCGTTAGTCCCAGTTTCGGGAATTTCTGGGTCATGATCTCCACCAGTCTGTCTGCGGGTCCGAGAAACATGGCATTGTAGGTGGTTTGGATCGTCTTATTTTTTCCGGCAGCAGCCGCCGGTGAAATGACTACCCTTATGAAGAGCTCATTGGGGAGCGTGGCGGTGACGTTTTGCCACTGCATGAAAACATCCGACGCCCCCTGTTCCAGAGTCTTAGGAACAGTAAAGACGGTGACGGTTTTTGGAACCGTCACCAGCTTTAACTTCCACGCGAGTATGACACCAAAGCTGCCGCCGCCGCCGCCCCTGATTGCCCAGAACACGTCCGGACCCATACATTGCTGGGTCAGAACTTTCCCCTCCGCGTCCACCATCCGTACATCCAATACGTTGTCCGCACCGAGCCCGTACATCCTCATGAGCGGACCGTAGGCTCCGCCGGTAATGTGGCCGCCGACGCCCAGGCTCGAGCAGAGCCCCGCCGGAAAAGCAAGACTGCCTTTGCTTGCATTCGAGATTTTATAGTAAACTTCCCCCATTGTCGCCCCCGCCTGAGCCCATGCCGTTTTACCGTTCAGATTGACGTCCACACGCCGTAGTTTAGAGAGATCGACGATCACGAAAGGCGTCTTCTGTGAGGAAGTGTATGACAGACCTTCATAGTCATGGCCGCCGCTCCGGACTTTGAACTGAAGATTCCCGACCTGTTTGGTGCATATCACGGCGGCCCGAACTTGGTCCTCGTTAGCAGGAGTGAAGATAAGTTGAGGCTTGGGGACGGAACTAACAAGCAACCTGAAATTCTGGGCGGTGGAGTTTAGGACGGAAGTGAAATTTGAACTTTTTTGGGTGTAGAAATCGTTGGGGTTAACTGATGGTGAGTTATTAATAACGCACTGGGAAAAGTTTTGGTGAGACGATGGGTAGGCTGAGAACGCATCCGCCGCCGCCGCGGAAGTTGACAACAGTAGTGGCGGTAGTATAACGGAGAAGAGGAGGGAGAGAATGGGAGTCGTCGGATTTTTTAAGGTTGTCATGGTGGCCGGCGGTTATTGATTGATTGATGGATGAGTGATGCGAGTTGTCTATCTATGTTGTCTCGTATTTATACACATTCTGTAGCGTTTAGTTGTCTATATTTCACCGATACTTCACCTCGATACCGTATCCGCGTATCCGATACGTATCCGTATCCGATACTCACCGATACGCGTCCTGTACGTATTGGGTCCGTATCCGTAATTTAATAAAAGTATCGGACTTAATTTTAAAAATACCGATACTTCCGATACCGGTATCCGTGAACTGATACGCGTATCTGACCCTATAACCCCTCATTTGATACACGACATGACGAAAATTTAGTAGCCGCCCAAGTGACCACAACATGTGGAACATTGATAAAGATGGTTTCGGAAGTATGGAAAATAATGGAATACTATAATTTGTCATTTCATTGCTTGATGAGCTTTAATTGAAACAAGACATAGATGTAAATGCAAATAGAGAACAAAAAAATGTTATTTGAATGTAGTAAAATTATACTAAATGGGACTAAAACATGGTTAAAACTCCAAAATAGGACTTCAAGTTTTAAATTGCATAAACGGGACTTCAGATTACTCTTTTGCCCTTCTGCAATTAAAACCCCAATCTCTCGCCCCCTTTTGCGATTCTCGCTTCATCGTCTAGTCCGCTTCATCGATGCTCTGCCCCCTTCATTGCTGCTTTCTCTGATCAACTACAACAAATCGCAGCAGCTCCGCACATGCTTTCAATTCATCTCATAGACTGCAGCTCCGCCATCGGCTATGGCCTCGCACCACAGCCGCCGTCGATCGTAGGTAATCTCCTCCTCCTCTCCTCATCCTCCTCCTCCTTCTAATTCTCTTCAAATTTCTGGTCCTCTGTTCTCTTCTTCTTTGAATTTTTTGGATTTGAATTTTATTTATTAATTTAGATTTTTTGGGTTTGAATTTTATTTATTCAGGAAAATGACACTTTTATAATCTGAGAATGTCAAAATTATTGGTTATTTGAAAAAAAAATGTCATGTTTTGTGGCAGTACATTTACCAGGATGACAATCTGAAAATGTCATTTTTGTTTAGAAAATGTCATGACAATGACATTTTTCATTTTTGGAAATATCATTTTCTTCTTTGAAAAAAATGTCACGTTTGTGGCAGTACATTTACTAGGATGACAATCTGAAAATGTCATTTTTGTTTTGAAAATGTCATGAAAATGACATTTTTTCTTTTTGGAAATGTCATTTTCTTCTTTGAAATTGTTACCTTAGCAAATGTAATGTCATAAAAGTGACATTATTACAAATTAGTGTTCAATTAAACATCAATTGTGACATTTTTCAGATTCAAGTGATGAGAACAATAATATGAATCTTTTAAAATAAATTACTCAAGATTAATAAAAATTTGGAAATCTAAAAGAAGAAGAAAATAGAAGAGTTGTAGAAGAGGAAAACAAGGGAGCTTTGAGAAGAAGCTAACGATGAGCAGAAGAAGATTAAAAGATGGAGAAGAAACTTACCTGGGCATGTATGTAGCAGAGGCGTACATCCATCGCTGCCGATCGACATTGATCGCACCCAGCGAATTGATGCAGCGAGAATCAAGAAGGCTATTTTTGTCCAAATTCAAATAATTAGTCCTATTAAGGAAACTTAAAACATTATGTCCTATTTTTGCAATTCTACCTTCTTTTAGTCCTATTTAGGCAATTCACTCTTGAATTTAAATCAAAATATTAGTACTTTTGTTTTTTAGTTTTTTTAGACTAATCTTTGAAATTTTATTATAATAGTTAATTTTTTGTACTATTATTATTTTATTTATGAACCCTTGAATGATATATATTTGCAAATTATACCCTATATTTTTATTATTTATAAATATACCCTCGTACCTGTATCCTATAATTTTTGAAATTGCCGTATCGCCATACACGTATTTGTGTATCCGCGTATCGGCGTATCCGCATCTGTGCATCATAGTTGTCTATTTGTGAGATGATATGAATGCCGCACGCGATTATGTCATGTGTGACTTGGAATCGATACATTCAATCTTCGAACGTTGAACACCTTTTACATCAAAGTTGTAGACTCCCTGAATCATACGGAGTAAGTTATTGCATCTCTGTTTTTTTTTTTGGATTTTTTCATTAAAAATAGAAGATTTCGCTACATGACTAATACAATGTCAAAGCCTAAACATAGGATTTCTGCGGTTTACTAACTTTGTTCTTAAATAAATAAAATCTGTTAAATTTTACATTATTCACATGTTCTACTTTGACAAGATTTTATTTATAAATGTATTAATATTTTTTTATGAAAGAAACATTGTGAAATTTAACTCATTGTAAATTTTCAATATCTAATCTTTTTTAATTTTTTTACTAATAGAGAATTATATATTAATGGTGAAAGTTGTGTCTCGACAAATTTGAAATGTTCTTATAAGATCCATCCCTTATGTATCACTCATAACTCATAAGGGAATGAGTCCTTATCAAATCCCTCATTAAAATTTCCTTATTTCCAATGACAATAACGAATTAACGACCCAATTCCCTTATTACTCCTATTACTGATTAAATGACGCATAGACTGTCATTGGATTCATACGTAGATGAGTGAGAACACTGACCTTGTACAAGGAATTAATAACGACAGATCCGTTATTCATTTTATTATTACTCCGTAACAAAAAAATTGCCCTGCAAAACAATTGAAATTTAAATAGTAGTATTGAATTGTATAATTGTATTTAAACTGTAGTATTGTGACAAATACAAAAATACATACGAGGCATTACATAATTCAATATACATAAAAATTTAATTATACATATAAACCACTCCCAATAAACCACCGAATTAATTGGTTACAGTCAAAGTAAAAAACAAAATTCAATACAATTTCAAAAAACAGAACCAATTTCATTGATTATGATAAAATACAAATACAATACAGGTAATATCATTCAAAAATCATCTTCATTACAGGTTGATAACTAATTTTGAGCTAAGTTGTTGGAAGAGATGCTCCACCCAAAGTGGAGATTGCCAGCGTTTATAGCATTTTGTAGGCTGTAAAATCCTTCAAAACCTTGACATCAAAATACAGAGAGTTTAGTGTAATAGACCTCTTCCACCTGCTGAAAATATTACAAAAAAATTAAGAACTCTTAGGATTATCATTCAAAGATACTGTGAAACTGTCTTTAGTATCAATTGATAAAAATACGAAAGGACATTATAGATTTTATGGTGATAAGAACCCCAATACATATGATACATATACACGATTAGGAAAGACAACCAATTAAAGAAACATCTTACCCGGAGTGACATCGAGGAAGACGAGCATATATGGTTAGACTGAGCTGGCGGCTGGTTGTTCGAGCTAATTTAAACGAAATTTCTCAGACGGGATAGACAACAACGAAGCCGAATCAACGTTCCAAGGGCAAATAAATGCAACTGGAGAAAGCCTGCGGGGGATTAGGATGAGAAGAAGGTGCGGCCGCACTTTAAGTTCAGATGTGCTTGAATTAGGTTCGTAAGAGCATCTCCATTCATGATACTCAAGTTTACGTTTTTTATATATATATTTTGACGCAGTCAACTTCAAAAAATGATTTGAATGTCTTCCCGATCAACTTCTAGATTTGATGAAGAACATGCTCAAAAAATTTTATCAAAAAATTCCACCGGGAAGGTGCCCAAACGGGCTCGTCCGGACGGAGGTTCCCGTCAGGCCAGCCTGACAAGAATATATATATATATATATATATATATATATATATATATATATATATATATATATATATATAGAGAGAGAGAGAGAGAGAGAGAGAGAGAGAGAGAGAGAGGAAAGTTCATGTCAGGACTTGCAAAAACGGACCTCCGTACGGACCTCGGCGTTTGGACCCCTTCCCGGTGAAATTTTTTGATGAAAATTTTTTAGCATGTTCTTCATCAAGTCTAGTTTACCCATACCAAATTTAGCCTAAAAATTCCATCGGGAAGGCAGTCAAATAAATTTTGGAAGTTAACTGCATTTTATATGTATATCAAGTGCGCAGTTTACTTCAAAAAATCATTTGACTGCCTTCCCGATGGAATTTTTAGCTGAAATGTGGTATGGGTAAACTAGACTTGATGAAGAACATGCTCAAAAAATTTCATCAAAAAAATCCACCGGGAAGGGGCCCAAACGCCGAGGTCCGTACGGAGTTCCATTTTTGGAGGTCGTGACAGGAACACTACTCTCTCTCTCTCTCTCTCTCTCTATATATATATATATATATATATATATATATATATATATATAGATTTATGATCAAGTGAGAAAGACATCTTAGGAGAGAAATGAGAATGAATTACATCCCTTAGATTTGATTTTTTTAATCTTCCGTTTCTTTTTTAGTTGAGGACAAATTAGAGATTTGCTTAATCTATTAATGATAAACGATTCTTTCCATAACTTCTCCCAAAGTTTTTGCTTCTTTAATTTATTATCTCATGCATGGATTTCACACCGTGATTCATCTTCTTTCATACGAAGTATTAACTATAGGAAGCCACAAACGTTAGTGGTGCACAATAAAATCCAAACGATTCTTTCACAAATGTAACAAAACTTAGAAAATTAATTAAAAAATATTTACTTTTGAAATAGATCGTTAAAAGTGCATTCTAAAAAATCAAAGTTTAAATATAAATAAAATATTCATCTAATAATACTCGTTAGTGTTGTTGTTTAACCAAATTGTAGTATTTCTTGCAAACCAACAACATTCTGTGCACTACAAAAACCACGTGTGCACAATTCCTAATTTCAAATGCACTTCAAAAATTATATTAGCATCACAATAAATATGACAATACGCAATAATAAATATAATAGTACACTATTCTTTGGACAGGTTCTCATTACATCCATTTTTATTTGTATTTTAGAAAATTATATATACTGGGTAAAGTTTTAATGACGTTTTTTATTGCATCTTGTTGAAAAGAATAATGCACTCTCTTTTTCTTTATATTATGTCAACTT